TGCTTGCAGGCTGAGAAGTTCGGTGAATTCCAAGATCAACAGGTAAGCTGCTAGCTCAAGTCCCATGAACCGAAGGTGAGACAACAAGAGGCAGCTGTTGAGTCTGGAACAAGCCAAACACCTTGGCAAGGTGAGCAGGCAGAAAGTAACCGGCAGAAGGCGGAGAGATGAAACTGAGAGGGCGGTGAGCTGCCACAGGCCCCGCCTCCGCCAGTACCACTCAGCAGATTCCATCATGGGGGTGATCACAACATTATACAACTACTAAAACACGGAGAATAATGGTCTAGCCAAGTTGATATACAATCTTAACCATCACACACACTATTACGTCAAATAAGATGGGAACTGAGAAGTGACCACTAGCTTCAGTAACACAGACGTCACGATGACCTTGACAAGAGCATACTAAAACTTCAACTCACTACTGAAGGTCATCATAGAGCCTATCAGCTGACCTTTCCACATGACTCCTCCCTTCCCTTTTCAAGCTTAAAGACGTCTCTCTATACCATACTTCTTACTAGCATTGTCCAATAGAAATACAATGTGAGCCATAAATGTAATTTTAATTTTTAGTAGACTTTAAAAAATAGGTAAAATTAATTTTAATATATGTCATTTATTTAGCCTGATATATTGCAAATATTGTTTCAACATGTAATCAATATAAAAAAATTACTGAGATATTTCACATTTTTTTTTTCATACTAAGTCCTCGATGGTTCAATCATTTCAGGAGGTAGCATATGATCAAGAACCGATGGTACTGAAGGAAGAACTCCAACCTGCACTGAAGACTGGTGAAAAGAAAGGCTCCAGAATTGACAGAATACCAACTGAGATGTTAGAACAAACGATGGAGCGCTGGAAGTGCTCACTTGTCTATGCCAAGAAATTTGGAAAACAGCTACCTGGCCAACTGACTAGAAGAGACTCATATTTATGCCTATTCCAAAGAAAGGTGATCCAACCAAATGCGGAAATTATCAAACAATACCATTAATATCACACACAAGTAAACTTTTGCTGAAGATCATTCAAAAGCAGTTGCAGCGGTACCTCGAAAGGGAACTGCCAGAAATTCAAGCCGGATTCAGAAGAGGGTGCAGAACAAGGGATATTACTGCTGAGGTCAGACGGATCCTGGCTGAAAGCAGAGAATACCAGAAAGATGTTTACCTGTGTTTCACTGACTATCCAAAGGCATTCGACATTGTGTGGATCATAACAAATTATGGATAATATTGCAAAGAATGGGAATTCCAGAACACTTAATTGTGTTCATGAAGAACCTGTACATAGATCAAGAGGCAGTTGTTCAAACAGAACAACGGGATACTGTGTGGTTTAAAGTCAGGAAAGGTGTGCATCAGGGTTGTATACTTTCACCACACTTATTCAATTGTATGCTGAGCAAATAATCTGAGAAGCTGGACTATATGAAGAACACGGCATAAGGACTGGAGAAAGACTAACAACCTGTGTTATGAAGATGACACAACCTTGCTTGCTGAAAGTGAAAAGGACTTAAAGCACTTACTGATGAAGATGAAAGACCACGGCCATCAGTATGGATTACACCTCCACATAAAGAAAACAAAAATCCTCACAACTGGACCAGTAAGCAACATCATGATAAATGGAGACAACACTGAAGCTGTCAAGGATTTCATTTTACTTGGATCCATAATCAACACCCATGGAAGCAGCAGTCAAGAAATCAAACGATGCATTGCTTTGGGCAAATCTGCAGCAAAAGACCTCTTTAAAGTATTAAAAAGCAAAGATGTCACTTTAAGGACTAAGGTGCACCTGACCCAAGCCATTGTGTTTTCAATTGCCTCATGTGCATGTAAAAGCTGGACAATGAATAAGGAAGACTGAAGAAGAATTGATGGCTTTCAGTTGTGGTGTTGGTGAAGAATACTGAATATACCTGGAATGCCAAAGAAACAAACAAATCTGTCTTGAAGTACGGCCAGAATGCTCCTTAGAAGTAAAGATGGTGAGACTTCATCTCACATACTTCAGACATGTTATCAGGAGGGACCAATCCCTGGAGAAGGACATTATGTTGGTAAAGTAGACGGTCTGTGAGAAAGACGAAGACCTTCTAAGGAGATGGACTGACACAGTGGCTGCAACAATGGGCTCAAGCATAACAGTAATCATAAGGATGGCGCAGGCCTGGGTAGGGTTTCACTCTGTTGAACGCAGGGTAGCTATGAGTCAGAAGTGATGCAACATTACCTAACAAGAAGTCTTCAAAATCCAGTGTATATATTAAACTTATAGAACATCTCAATTCAGATGAGCCACACTCTTAAGTGCTCAATACTATATTCCTTCTCTTTCTTCTGGTTTCCCTAGCTCTTTGCATACTTTTGTAAATAGTCTTTTTATTAAGGAGCCCTGCTGGCCCAGCGGTTAAGTGATATGGCTGTTAACCAAAAGGTCAGCAGTAGGAATTATTCAACTCTCCTCAAATACCCGTGTGTGTGCGCTACCTATTTTCTGCCAGGACAAAACCGATGCACATGGGAAAATGTCTGCTATAATGGTCAAGAGAAAGTAGCATGTAAAATTGTACAATTAAAGTATGATCTCAACTACATGAAAAATGTACGTAAAAGAAACTAGAAGCAAATCTCATAAAATGTTAACCAAAAATTATGGGATTATGAATGATTATTTTCTGTTTTTTGATACTTTCGTGTAATCTCCAAGTTTCACTGAATTCATAAAAAAACTTCAAAATGTCAAAACAAAAATACAACATAATACTTAGAAAAACTGATAAGCTAAATACAAGCAACAGAGATCGCCTATTTGTTCTCACCTTATTACAATGGAAGAAAAAAAAGCCTACTAAAAGATAATTCAAATACAGATGTGTAGTATAGACTGTCAAATAAGCTGAACCAATTATAACTTCACTTACAGCAAATCTATACATTTCTCAGAAAGGGAAGTCAAACACTATAGAGTTCAGAGTATGGTGCTAGTACGCAAGTTTTTAACACTCACACTACCCTTTCACAATACAAGTAAGCTGAAGAAAGTTAGGACATATGGTCCAATTCAATATATAGAGTAAAATTAGTAACCAAATATATACTGGATTTAAATGTGGAACATTTCTAGATTCTAGCTTCTTAATCCACATGGTAATGAGTTTCATAAATATCACTTGGCCTGTGGCAGACAAAACAAAGAACACAGTAAGTAAGTAAAAATGAAAAAAGAGCAGTTAAATCCTAGGACTAATGCTACCTCCCTTCCTTCATTAATTTTCTTCTCTGTAACCGAAAGAAACAAGTCCATTTGGGGTAGAGAAGGATGATAGGTGTTGGAGGATAGTCTGCATCTACGTCTCCCATCTGGACAGCCTAAGCAGAAGCCTTGGGCCCAGAACATTCTCTGATAAGGAGGCTGGGAATTGAGTCTCTGTCTTCTCCCAGTCCCTTCTCCTTATTGGGAAGCCTTCCTCAATGTTCTGGGCACACAGTAACTTCATCTGTCTCTTGCTCATGCGCAGGTACCATACGGCATCTGGCCAACCCTATTTCTACATCTGTTCCTGGTGGGGGGCCGGGGGGAATAATGGGTTTGTGTTATTTGCTGGAGACCTCGAACCTTGGTAGAACAATAGGATTCTACGTAACCATTTCTTTTTTTAACTACTTGGCTTTGCCATCCTACCCCGTATTATGATAACAAAAAAGCCAAACCCATTGCCATCAAGTTGATTCAAACTTCTTGCAACCCTACAGGACAGAGTAGAACTGCCCCATAGGGTTTCTAAGGTTGTAAATCTTTATGGAAGCTGACTGCTACATCTTTCTCCCACATAGCGGCTAGCGGGTTCCAACAGCTGACCTTTTGGTTAGCAGCCAAGTGTTTAACCATTGCACCAATATCTGCCTAAAACATTTCAGCCTTTTGTTTCCTATCAGCCTCTCCAAGCCCCCTTTAATGTCCAGTTTTATTTTAATAACAAAAAATTGAAAACTATGTAAATATCTAACCATAGATTACCTAAATAACAAAACATTATCCATTAAATGAATACTACACAACCATTAAAAATAATGTAAAAGATTATTTCATACCATGGGGAAATGTTCATAATATATATTAAGATGTTTTAAAAGTAAAAGCTCTGTAATAGGATGAACCAATGGAAACCAATGATCCCACAGGTTCTCTGTATAAGATTTAAAAAGCTCACAGAAAAAATAAAAATCCCCTATACCATCCAGATATAACAGCTATTAACCACTATATATCCCTAAAATGAGTGAATGGATAAATGGGGAGAAACATAGATAAATCTCTATTAAACTTAGCCTCAATCTAAATTCGCTAACAAACTCTTTAACACAGGCAAAAAAAAAAAAAAAAAAGCCCAAACCTTTCATCTTCTTATTAAAATTCCATACATTTACCTAATAGTTCAAATATCCTTTTTTTTCCTTAACTGTTATCTGGTCATCTTAATAAAAATTGCTAAAACGCATTGAGTGCTCAGCATATTCCTGGTATTGTACCATTTACTTTATAGATATTACCTTGTTTAATTCTCAGAAATACTCTGTAAAATAGGTACCATTATTCTCCACATTTTACACCCGATAAAACTGAGGCTTTGAGAATTTAGTCACTTTTTTCAAGATCATTTACCTACAGGGTGGTGGAGCCAAGATTCAGACACGGGTCCAGCTAACTCCAAAGCCCACGATCTTAACTATTACCCTGATAATGCTTTTGTATAAGCACAAATAAAAATCTTGCCACAAAAACTCAAATTTAGGTTGGATTACAAACTTTCAGATTCATTGGACAATCCTCTTAATCAGCTCCCAAATCCTCTGCCTACAGGCTGATAAACAAGATTGTTCAACTCTTCTTGTATCAAATAATCTATAAGTCGTATGTAAATCATCTTATAAGCTTCAAATAAGAGTTTTAAAAAAAGATAGCTTACATACACTTACCAAAAACTGCAAAATGTACTCCCAATTCATTTAATACAGGAATCATATGCTTTCCTTTTGTTATTGTACTTAATACTGAAGGATTTAAGCAGTCACCACTAAAAATCAAAAGTGGATTCAGGAAACTGAAGTTTTTCAGAGCTGTTGCAAATCTAAAAAAAAAATTATGTACTGTAATTTTATGTCTTTATCAAAAACAGAGAAAATATTTTAAATAGCAACATGAAGATTTTTTCTTTAAATTATAATAGAAACTAAAATATGAGTACTTACAAAAAAAAGTCTTTAATACTATCACTTCCTGTAACCAACGTAACCTCACCTTTTAGAAATTTATATTCTAAAAGGATATGCTAAAAATAAAATTTCTTAATAAAACTTCTTATATCAATCATACATATCATTTAAATATGAAATTTATTATCAAGCAAATGTACTCAAATAATAACATGAAATAACTTAAAGGAAAACACTTTAAAGCATATAGGAAAACAAACTATGCTACAAAATACAAATTCTTATATATAAATTATGTCCCCTTGGCACAAGATGAAAAGAGATGTACCTGCTATCTTACTAGGTTCTTTAAATTCACTGCATCAAGTTTCACATAAAATAATGCCTCTTTGCAGCCTTATAATCTAATGTCCCAATGGTAAACAAATCTTAACTTCAATACTAAATACTTCCTTCACCCTACCTTTTCCCCTTGCTTTTCACTGACATCTGAACATCACCTGAGGAAATAATTCACTATGTGAGCCCTCTCTAGTGGCCTCTACTCATTCTCTGATTCCCCACACTGAATAGAATAGGGAGTGATGGAAATGGTGAGAAGACAGGCATTCTTCTGATTCCCCAATGCAAATTTCACACTGGGCAAAAATCTCACCTCCTTTTTAAGCTTAAAGCTATTTGGATACACCACTCTGCTTGCTAGTAACTTCTAACATATATCCAATAACAGCCTTAGGCATACCTTGGGGAATCAACCTGAAATAGTTTGAAAAATTACCCAGGTGATTCCAATTTGCCATTTCCCCTGTGAAAAAACCACCATTAACTCCCTCACATTCATAAGGTTTACATCTCTCTACTTGTCATCATCTTGGTGACTTCAATACCCATGTAGAAACCCTAGTTGGTTCCTCAGCTTCAATGACCATCTCCAGTCTACTACAGCAACTCATTGTTGTGACATTTGTCATTACCTAGAATAACTCCACTCCTGAAGTTAATCTTCAATTCTAATTTCTCACTCTGTAGCCAAAACCTCCATTTGGTACAGCTTTAACTTTACTATGTAAACTCCTAGACATCACTCGTATTTTCAGTGCCTTGTTTTTCACATTTCTCATAGTCTATCAGCTCCCTCCTTGGCTTTCACTTCCAGTACAGATAATACCACAACCCATCTCTTCAAATACCTTCTTGCCTGGAGTTTCTCATACTCTTGGCAAGCTCTTGGCTATCTACCACATTCATACCCAACCACCATCCTTAAACTAGTTTAAACATATGACTGCTCTGCTCCTGAGACTCCAGGTAAATTATACAGACTGCACCTTTTCAGGAAACCCTGGTGGTGTAGTGGTTAAGAGTTTGGCTGCTAACCACGGGTCGGCAGTTTGAATCCACCAGGTGCTCCTTGGAAACCCTATGGGACAGTTCTACTCTGTCCTGTAGGGTCGCTATGAGTCAGAATCAACTCAATGGAAACAGGTTTGGTTTTTTGTTTCTACGGGTTTTTTGCACCATTTCGAATTTATAATACATAAATCTCAATTGGACCCAACTCACAACAAAAATTTTATTTATTCCTAGTTGCCCTCCCCCACCTTATTACTCTCCATAGCAGCAATTCCAAACGTCTTTGAATCCCACAATCTATTTCCCAAGACTATTTGTTACCAGCATCCTCTAGGCAGCCTCCATAATTTAACCCCTTTCTCCCCAGAATTTTTCAGTCTTCCCCTGTGTGTGTGGGGAGGGGGGGCGGTGTGTGCACATGTGCACGTTTACCAATTCCTTCCTCTTAGCCTACACACATTCTCCGGCATCTCTACTCCTACCCTTTTTAAATACATTATACCTTCTAGATCAGTGCTATTCAAAGAATGGTCCATGGACCAAACTGTTACTGAACTGTTTGTCACTAGTCACTAGACACTGCTAGTTCCTATGAATACGAAGATGCACAGAAACAGACCCTGCCATTACTGTCAAGAATCTAGATCAGAGGTTCTTAAAAACACTTCAGTCTCAAGAAAACTCTTTGAAAATTATTTAGGACTCCTAAAAGCTTTTTTAAATATGGGTTACATTTATCAATATTTATCATATTAGAAATTAAAACTGAGAAACTGAAAAAAAATTAGTGAGAAGAGTATATTTTTGAAAATCTCTTTAATGCCTAGAATAACAAGGACAGCTAGAGTCTTCTACCTGCTGCTGCATTTCTATTGGGATAGGTCATTTTTGGTGAAGTACAGGAAGAAAATTTGGTCTCACACAGATATACTACTAGAAAAGTAATTAAATAAACTATCCATATAATTGTGGATCTTTTTCTTTGATACTACACCAAACTCAACAAGAGGCAGTTTCTAAATCAGTTAACGTGAAATCTGAAACCAGATCAATTAACTTCAAACCCTGTACAGTCATGAGAAATGAGCATGAACAAGGCAAATAACACCAAGATTGTTATGAAAACAGTTTTAGCTTTGTGGACCCCCTCCCAAAGGATCTGCAGACACTTTGAGAACTGCTCATTTATAATCTAGCTGATAGCTCAAACCTCAAGAGTAAATAAGCATATTCTCTACAGGAAACACTACTTGCCAAACTCCCTCTTACTCATCCCTCACCCTCAGCTGGAACATTCCTCAGAAAAACCTTCCCAGACAGACCCATCCAACTAACTAAGGAGGTATACTATTAGGCATTCTCATTGCACTTATCACATGATAATTTTACTTCTATTTATGACAGCTTTATTTTTTTTAAATTGTCAACCTCATGCCAGCCTATGTGCTCCACAAGTACTGGGATCGTGTCTAGTTTTCATAGCTCTTTCCCCAGAACGTCCTCCTCACCCTAATACTTAAGGTCATATCATTCCTCTGCTGAAAGGATGGCTCCTCTGCACATTAAAGGTAAAAGACAAAATTGTCAACATGGGCTACACAACTTTGTATGATCTGATCCCTGCTACCTCTCTGGTCTCATCTTCTACCAATCTCCCCGTTGCTCACTTTACTCCAACCACGGTAGCCTCCTGACGTTCGTGGAACCCACTCAGCAAGCACATTCCAACATCAGAACCTTTGCTCTTTCAGTTTCCTCTGAAACATTTACCTCTTAGCAGTGACATGATTCACACTATTTCACTTAATTCAGTTCTCCCCTCAAATAACACACTATCAGTGAAGTCTTATCTTTTAAAAACAGTAACAGCCCCCACCCTCAACTCTCCACAGTCCCTACTCTTGCTGTTGTTGTTAGGTGACATCGAGTCCATTCTGACACAGAGCGATCCTACGTACAACAGAAAGAAACACTGATTAATCCTGTGCCATCCTCACAATCGTTGCTAAGTTTGAGCCCACTGTTGCAGCCACTGTCATCCATCTGGTTGAGGGTCTTCCTCTTTTTCACTGGCCTTCTACTCTACCAAGCATGACGTCCTTCTCCAAGGGATGTCTCTCCTAATAACATGTCCAAAGTACGGTCTCTAAATTCAGGTGGGATATACTCAAGGTTGTACTTTGGCTGTCAGGGACTTGTTTTAATGTTCTTCAGCTTCAGCTTGAACTTGCATATTAGCAATTGATGGTCTGTTTCACAGTCGGCTCCTGACCTTGTTCTGACTGATACTGAGCTTCTCCATTCTCTTTCCACCAGATGTAGTTGATTTTATTCCTGTGTGTTCCATCCAGCGAGGTCCATGTGGATAGTCGCTGTTTATTCTCATTACCCTACTTTTTCTCCATAGCACTTATTACCATCTAACATATTATATGTTTTCTTTTTTATTTTCTGCTCTCCCCAAATAAAATGCAAGCTCCGTGAGGGCAGGAATTTTGTCTCTTCTGTTCTTCACTATATTCCCACTGCCTAGAACAGTGCCTGGCACATGGTTAGCATTCAATAAATATGTGTTGAATTACTAAACTTAACACTGAACCAAACTCATTGCCATTGAGTCAATTCCAACTCATGGCTACCCTATATAACACAGTAGAACTGCCCCGATAGGGTTCCCAAGGCTTTAGAGAAACTTTACAGACGCACACTGGCACATCTTTCTCCTGCAGAGCGGCTAGTGGGCTGGAACCACTGACCTTTCAGTTAGCAGCTAAGTATGATAACACTGCATCACCAGGGCTCCTGAATTTATCACAGTGCCTGGTGAACAGTATGCTCTCAACGAATATTTGTGAAACCAAAGAATATGGAATGAATCTCTGCTTCAGTACACAAAGAAGTGAGCATCTGGGCTGAGGACTAAATTTTAGGACATACCAACCTTTAAAGGAGTCTTGGTGGTGCAGTGGTTAAGTGCTTGGCAGCTAACCAAAAGGTTGGTGGTTTGAACCTACCACCAGCTCCACAGGAGAAAGATGTGGCAATCTGCTTCCATAAAGATTACAGCTGGAAACCCTATGGGAAATTCTACTCTGTTCTATAGGGTCACTATCAGTTGGAATCAACTCGAAGGCATCGGGTTAGGGGTTGGATTTTTTTTTTCTTGTGTGATCCAAGGCAACTCACTGCGCCAACAGGGCTCCTGAATATGTCCTTTCCCATCTCCACCCGTTAACATCCTATCCATACTTTAAATCCCAGTCAAATACCTTCCCTGATCACTCCAGTGTTATTAGGTTGTAACAGTCTTAGCAACAGAGAAAGAAAAGGTGTGTTATAGAATTCTAGTTCCCAACTACAGATAATCTGTTACCACGACGGTGGTAAGTCGGTTCTGATGCAACTCGTGTCTTTTTGTTTTTTTTTTAAATTATTATTGCCTTTTATTATTAGTATTTTCATAAATCTTATCTTTGTCTCTGGGTGTTGGCATGAGAACGATAACCTCAGCAAATTACATGCTACAGCACTGTATATAGATCTTACTAGCAATAAACCCAACCCACTGCTGTCCAGTAGATTGACTCACGGTAACCCCACAGGGTTTCCAAAGCTGGAAATCTCTAGGAAGAAGATTGCCACAAGTTTCTCCTGCAGAGCCGCTGGTGATTTCAAACCACTGACTTCTGGGTTAGCAGTCCATGGCTTTAACCACTTCACCACCAGGGCTCCTTATTACTAGCAATAAGATGTACAAAATGAAGCAAAGAATAGTAGGATCCTTAGTGCGCTCCTCTAACTGGAATACATAGCAAGTCAGCAACTACCTGTATAAATGTTACAGATGTCTCACTGAGCACTGGAACTTTTATAATACATAAAAAGAAAAAGAAATTAAAACTGACACTTATTAAGTGCTTTCCACAGGCTAGGCCAGACACTCTGATAGATGGTTTGCATAAATTACTTCACTTAATTCTAATGAGGAAAACACAATTCCCTTTTTACAAACGATGAAACAAGCTCAAGAATGATAAGTCCTTGTCCAAGATCACACACACTGGTTAGTGAAAAAGCTGGATTTGACCCCAGGTTTACATTAAACCTGGCTAGGCATTGCCCATAGCTCACACTTAAATACAGGGTTTTCTTTCATTCGGTTTTTGAGGCAACAGCAGCCCACAAGGCTGCGAGGGACAGAGCCTTCACAGCTTCCAAATCTTCATCACCAGGGCTGCGAATCACCACCCCCATTTCTCCTCAGGGATTCAGCAGGAAAGATGGCGACCCACACCTAGCGGCACCTCCTACGGGTTCCTCAGGCTTCGGGTCCACGTCGTAAACATCATTGAAATGAAGAATGGTCAAGTCGTAGGGACCGATGTCTCCCGACGTGTCCCCCAAGGTCTTCAGAGAGGACTCAGTCTCCAGCTCTGAAGGCTGATGCGGTGCCACTTCTGCCGTCTCCTCAGAGGCCTCCATCTTCCGGAGAAGGAACCGGCGACCGCAGCACGCCAGCGTAGGGCGGCACGGCCCACAGGAGGGCCTGGGTCAGCCTGCTGCGTGCGCAGCCCACGTGCGCTGCTCCCGGCTGTCTCCGCTCTTCCTGGCCGAGGTCTAAGCTCGCTGCCAGAACCAGCCTCTGCCTAGAAAGGTTTGGGCGAGTGGGGTGCAGGCAATTGAGGACCTAACGGAAACCTTGGTGCCTCTGCTGTTCTCTTTTTAGGATCCACGAAGCAGATTTCAAACGACTGTAGCTCGTGGTTAAGGCATGTAGTCAAACCTCACTTCTTTAACATCTTGCTGGGCAAACATTTTTTACTACGATCTTTACTTTCCTCTCTGTAAGAATATTGCCCTCTTTACAGGAAAATTGGGGGCCAGGCCATTAACCAAGAAATCCTTATACAGAACCTTTTCTGTACCCATTTTCAGTTTCCTTCTATCTCTTTCAAGGGCCCTTCAATTTGTCCGTTAATTAAACACCTGTGTACCAGGCACTGTGTTCTGCGCTGGGGATAAAATGATGAACAAAATAGACACAGCCTTTGCCTTCAGAAGACTGCACTCTATGCCTTCACCTGCTCCTGGTCTGTGCTTTCCAGTCTTTACCATAATCCTGGAGGCCTTTTCTACCTCTGCCATAACCCAAAGGTGCCTTTCCTTTGTTTACTTTTACTGGGAATATGTGACCGTAATACTCCCCACCATGTTTTCTCCTTTTCAAAATGGGCGACTGACAGCTTGACATAACTAATGCCATGATGAACCTGTAAATTGTTTTTTTCTTTTTTGCCTGCCTTCTTTCTGCATAGTTTTGTTAATGACTTTGTTTTGCTCTGCGGCCACCTGTGACTTACAACCCCCACAGGAAGATTAGAGCCCAGATATCTGACATGTATATCTTTAGCCTGAAAAGGAGATGTCTGGCGTGTATGTCTTTAGTCTGATAAAGAGTCTGTTGTAATCACCTTGTAATGAATAACTCATCTGGCCATGCCATCTGCAGGCTACAAAGACACTTATAACGTTTGTAAAAATCGTATATAAGCTCTAATGTAAAAATGCCTTTTGGGACTCCATAGAGACAGCCTGCATTGCTGTTGGATTCCCTGTTTGTGGACACCTCCTAAATAAACTTTCTCACTCTTTCTAACTTGGAGCATATTTCATTGGCTCGACTGTTACAGGGCACAGACCCTGATCGGGCAACAAATCTAAGCACTTCCCAATTTGTTTTCTTTTCTGTTACCACATAAGTACTGAGTTGTAGTCTTCTATTACATTTATGTGATAGATGACACTGTTGTGGTGTGGACTCTGACATTTCTTGTGAGAATAGAGCAAGTGAAAAACGAATGCTTATATTGATATAACTTAGTTATTGTAGAATGATGGAATTTCGGTCAGTTAAAAAGGTGCCCCAGACTGCTGCAACTCCTTGGAATAGTACCAGTTGTTCATTTGCTAAATTGAACCTGGATTAAATGGATACATCTAGAAGAATATAAAGTGCCAAAATTCATAAAATAAAAAATAAAACTTGAGTAAATAAGTGAACATTAAGAAAATTGAAATGGTGGTCAAAGATCTCTACTTCGAAAAAGCTACAAGCCAAGAATGTTTAACAGGTAAACTATACCAAGCTTCTCAGCTTATTTTATGAGGCTAATAAAATCATTCCAAAACCAGATAACAGAAAAAGATAAAATTATAAAACTCATTTTGTTTATGAATGTGGATATAAAATTACTTTAAAAATAACTAAATCCAATAGTACATTTCAAAAATTAAACTGTTTATCCCAAGAATTCAAGAATAGTTTAACATCAGAATACCTATCAATCTAATCTGCCATATTAATATTTTAAAGTAGAAAAATTAAATGATTATGGAAAATGATGCAAAAAAGTCTTTGATAAAATTAAGTAGTAGTATTAAAAATTCATAGCAGTCTTGGGCTGAGGTCTGTGGGGACCATGATCTCGGAGAACATCTAGTTCAATTGCTATAACATAGTTGATAAAGAAAATGTTCTACATTCTACCTTGGTGAGTAACGTCTGGGGTCTTAAAAGCCTGTGAGTGGCAATCGAAGATACGCCACTGGTCTTACCCCTTTGGGAGCAAGGGAGAATGAAGAAAACAAGATACAAGGGAAAGATTAGTTCAAAGAACTAATGGACCACAACTACCACAGCCTCTACCAGACTGAGTCCAGTACAACTAGATGGTACCTGGCTACCACCACAGACTGCTCTGACAGGGATAACAACAGAGGGTCCCAGACAGAGCTGGAAAAAAATACAGAACAAAATTCTAACTCACAAAAAAGACCAGACTTACTGGCCTGACAGAGACTGGAGAAACCCTCAGAGTATGGCCCCCGGACACCCTTTTAGCTCAGTAGTGAAGTCACTCCCGAGGTTCACCCTTCAGCCAAAGATTAGACAGGCCCATAAAACAAAATGTGACTAAAGGGGGACAACAGTCCAAGGACAAGGACTAGAAGGCAGGAGGGGACAGGAAAGCTGGTAGTAGGGAACCCAAGGTCGAGAAGGGAGAATGTTGCCATGTTGTGGGGTTGTTAACCAATGTCATAAAACAATATGTGTACTAACTGTTTAAGGAGAGACTATAGCTTGTTCGGTAAACCTTCATCTAAAGTATAATAATACAAAAAAAAAGTACTTACCAAAAAAAGGATAATAAGCAGAGGGAAGCAGAGAAAAAATAATTCATAGCAATCTATTTCAGATGCTTTCTAGTACCTTTAATTCATTGCATTTTAAAACATTTTATCCAGTTACTATAATTACTCTGTGGTATGATTCACTCAACTATTTCACTTCACAGCTCTTTGTTGGAAGTTTTCTCCTTCTCTACTTTAAATTTGTTTGGAAGTTCTTATAAATGATATTGGTGGTCACCTTTAAAGGAATTATTTGAATTATATTACTTTCTAACTGTTAAAGTCAATAGTATACCGTATATTTAAATTCTTCCTGTTTGAGGGCAATGGCATAGGTGGAGGGGGTAGTCAGTGGGAGCAGTCTGAATGGGTGCAGGAGATTTAAATAGGTATAGAGAATTTTTAAAAAGAATGAATACTTTTCATTATCACTACGCACAAGCAATTCTAAACAAAGTCAGTGATAAAATACTACTCCCCTCTTCCTTGGTATCCAGTTATTTGAGACAATATGTATAGCACGTTTTAACCCCACATTCTCCTTCTACCTAATTCTCATATTTTTGTGACAGTTTCTGAGATTTGGGGACTTTATTATTATTATTGCTTTATTATAGTTGTACTGCATAACTTCTTTTTCAAGATAATAACCAGATTTAACACAATTGCTTACATCTAGCTTTGCTTTGACTGGTTTCAATACTCACCACCATTCTTTTTACACTCATAATTCTCAGCTTTGGTTAATGAGTCTTGCCATCTGAATTGTTGCTATTGTGTTACGTTTACACCACATAATGTCTCTTTCAGGATTAATTATATGACCAAATTTACCACAGTTACTTATATTTAGCTCTGTTTCACTGTTTTTATGTTTTCCCGTTGTTGAGCTCTTAATTCTCTTCACCTCAGTAATTTTACCAAGAAAAATACACCTTCATGCATTATCAGAAAATGTCCTTCTTTTACTTTTAAATGTAAAAGACGGCTTCAAACCAAACCAAACCTACTGCCGTCAAGTCAATTCCAACTCATAGTGACCCTATAGGACAGAGTAGAACTGCTCCATAGTGTTTCCAAGGAAAGTGGGTGGTGGATTAGAACTGTCGACCTTTTGGTTAGCAGCCAAGATCTTAACCACTGCACCACCAGGGCTCCAAAATACAGCTTAGTTTGGTATAAAATTTATTTTCTCATTATGACTCTATAGACTTTGCTCATTGATACCTGGCTTTTAATAATGCCAAAGAAAAGTCTGAGGTCAGCCTGATTTTTGTTACTTTCTAATTAACCTATTTTTCCTGCCTGTGTGCCAGCATGTGTGTCTCTTCAATTTTTTTTTTAACTGGAACATAGTGATATTTTTCAATCTGTCTACGTAGATGAGAGATTTGAGTTTGGTTTAGGAGGTGCTAAAGAAGCTACTAAAATTTCAGTGGCAGAATAAGAATGAGGAGGGAATTATTTATTTGGAGGAGGAGTTTAATTTTCCTCAAGGAAATCTGCTTGGGAGTGAGGTTCATATTTTTTAATTTTAATTTCAGAAAATTTATATTGTTATTTTTTGTATTATTTGTACTATATTGTTATCTGGTGATAACTTTGTTCTATGAGCTCAGTTGGACAATGTTGTTGTCCATAAATTAAGATGGGGAATAGAATTGGAGGTGAATTCTTGGCCTAGTATTTAAGGAAACTTAGTTAATATATTGGGTTTGATCATTGTAGAAGTTTCTGTGCAGAAATCCTAATAGGAAAGAATAGTGGTAACAACTGAGGAAGGAACAATATAAAGTTGTGGAAGAGACATCTCTGATATTCCTTTGATCTCTCTCTCTCTCCCCAAAGGAAATAAAATTATGCCTTTGAAACCACAAGGCTTATTTTAAGCCCATTAGTTAAGAGAAAAAAAGATTTTTTTAAAAAAGCATGGGAATGTTGGCCTCTAGAAAGAAGAAATTGGATGTTCTTTATTACCCCTGCCCCCTAAACACACACACACACAAACACATACTAGTGTCACCCTCAGAAAAACGATTCTTAGCGTAGACCAGGCACAGGGTAGTTGGCCACTCCCAGTTGGTAGTGATCACTGTACCTGATTAAAAGGTTAAGCATGGAGATGCAAACACTTTTTATCTCTCATATTTCCGTGTGAGTGCAATATTAAAAAGGACTGTGCCTCTCTCGCAAAGGAACAACTCAAACAGCCTTCCCTTTTTCTTTCTCAGGCTCTGCCTTTTTAGACTTTTCCTTCCAAGACAGTGGAGAATTAAGCATTGGCTGGAAGC